ATAAATAAATAAATAAATAAATAAAAAGAAAATGTTCCCCCTAATACGAATAAAATAAGGATATCTGTTATTACCACTTCTATTCAAAATGGCACTGGAGTTTCTAGCCAGATAATTTGATAAGGAAAAGAAATAAAAGGCATCTAGAATGGAAACAGAAAGTAAAACTGAAAGTAAAACTATCTCTATTTGCAAATGACATGATCTTGTATATAGAGGGTCCTAAGGAACCCTGTGATTACACTGGGCTCACTTCAACAATCCAGGTTAAATTTATTTTAAGGTCAACTGATTAGCAACCACAGTACATCTATAAAGTCCCTTCACAAAAGTACCCAGAATTGTTTTGATTGAATAACCAGGGGTAGGATACTTGGCGGGGTACATTTTCATAATTCTGCCTACCACAATTAGGTAGGCATTAGTTTGGTTCTCTTGTTACACTTTATACATTTAAGGTGTTGACCAGTCTATGAAGCTTAAACTAGTTGCGTCCTTGTAATTCTTCCATGACTAATTCAGTTGTAGCACACACTAAATCAATGTATCTACTCATCAGGTTGCCAGACTTCATTTGCAAAGAAATGAAATCCACTGAGTCCTTTCCAACTATTTAATTGGTAAAATTCCCTGCCCGCTTTCATTTGGGAGAATCTCAGTCTACTGGCTATTTGGCCGTGGTTCCAAAGATATATTCTTAAATAAAACAAACAAAAAAAGATATATTCTTTGAAATTTGTATTATATTTATTTTAATACACTATTATTTGATTTTATGTATTTCTGTTGAGTATCGATTTTTTTCACTTGTAGCTGAATTAATTGGAAGAATATATACCCATATAAATTTCACAAATAAACAAGCCATCTGCCTGTGAAGAATAAAATTCCCGACAAAAGAAAAACAAATGACATATATGAAAAATTTCTGTATTTCTACAGAGAAATTATAGAATGTATTATTATTTAGCTCAAATCCATGGAATAATAATATTTACTTTAAAATATTTGACAGCTTGACTACTTCTGTTATATGGAAAAATTTCGTTGGTGTCATATCAGTTAAGTCAAATAATCATCTAAGTTGTCAACTATGATTCCCTGACTGATGTTATTACTCTGAATTTAAAATAAAAGAAATGGCAAAATCAACAGATATTGTATTATCTAATAAGAAATAGGCATCAATTCTGTTCAGGAATTATGAAAACTTCATGTAGCTCACTAATTTAAAATGCACACAACATGCAAGCACACATCAAGGACCTTGATATTATTATCTTGACAATCAAGGAATTTGTGGAAGAAATAAGGTCTCTGCAAAATACTACTTGAGGCAGAATCAATCATTAAGTACCAAATATGTATGCCTTTGAAATTTTTTGTATAACACCTCGGCCACTGCCATACATCCATCAGCATCTCTCATTTCTGCCTGGTTGGACAGCAGCAGAAATAGGATTGTCAAGTGTGAAGAAGTTAGATAGAGGAGGGAAAAGAGAGAATGTAATGGTCCTGATGAACAAAATCAGTAACCCTTGGTGACATAACCCTTGACATTCCCAGATACACATTTGGCTAATCTTCATTTCCAAAGACAGCATCCTCAGAGCAGACTGCTATATCACTGCCTGAACACACCAAGTATCTCTACATGGTTCTTAGGTGGTTCTTTCAATCTCAAATATCATGTCTCTCACTCCCCTGTCCATTGAAATACCACTCATCTTTCAAGTCCTTTCTCAAGTCTTGTCTTAAAGTGATGACATCAGTTTCTATTTGGAGTGTGCTTCTCTCTGGTGTCAGAATTTGCCTATATCCACAGAGCAGTATGCTCAGACTAACATCACAGCACTTTAAAAAATTTCCCCCATATTATAATTCATTGTGTTATTGTCAAGGGTGTTTTTCAAAGAGATCATATCATATATGCAGCATATATCGTAACAGTCTTTATAATATTCATAGCATGTATCATGATGCCTTACACACACTGGGGTTAATAAAAGCTTTTGAATTGAAATTCACAATTGTCACCACCATATATAAATACATGAACCTAAATATATAAAAGAAATTTTTCCATAAGATACCTCAGAATAAACCTAACCAAAGAGGTAAAGGATCTATACTCTAGGAACTACAGAACACTCATGAAAGAAATTGAAGAAGACATAAAAAAGATGGAAAAACATTCCATGCTCATGGATTGGAAGAGTAAGCATTGTTAAAATGTCTATGCTTCACAGAGCAATCTATACCTTCAATGCCATCCCGATCAAAATTCCAAAGACATTTTTCAAAGGGCTGGAACAAACAATCCTAAAATTTGTATGGAATCAGAAAAGACCCCGAATCACCAAGGAAATGTTGAAAAAGAAAAACAAAGCTGGGGGCATCATGTTGCCTGATTTCAAGCTATATTACAAAGCAATGACCACCAAGACAGCATGGTACTGGCACAAAAACAGACATATAGACCAATGGAACAGAATAGAGAACCCAGATATGGACCCTCAACTCTATGGTCAAATAATCTTTGACAAAGCTGGAAAAAAATATGCAATGGAAAAAAGACAGTCTCTTCAATAAATGGTGCTGGGAAAATTAGACAGCTATATACAGAAGAATGAAACTCGACCATTCTTTAACACCATACACAAAGATAAACTCAAAATGCATGAGAGACCTCAATGTGAGACAGGAATCCATCAAAATCCTACAGGAGAACATAGGCAGTAACCTCTTTGACATCAGCCACAGCAAATTCTTTCAGGATACATCTCCAAAGGCTAGTGAAACAAAAGCAAAAATGAACTTTTGGGACTTCATCAAGATAAAAAGCTTCTGCACAGCAAAGGAAACAGTCAACAAAACAAAGAGGCAACCCACAAAATGGGAGAAGATATTTGCAAATGACAACACAGACAAAGCACTGATTTCCAAGATCTATAAAGAACTTCTCAAACTCAACACCCAAAAAACAAATAATCAAGTCAAAAAATGGGCAGAAGACATGAACACTTCTCCAAAGAAGACATACAAATGGCTAACAGACATATGAAAAAATGTTCATCATCATTAGCCATCAGGGAAATTCAAATCAAAATCACATTG